TTTATTATATGAAATTTCAATTGACTGATAACAATCGATTATTCAGAAGTTTTGTTCGTTAAACTTAAAGTAAAAAATTTATTAAAATTCATTAAAATAATCATGACAGCATTGGAAAAGCATACAGTCGGAATGATTAGCACAGTGGTGTTCGATGAGAACACTTATTCAACAATTTTACAATTTCAAAAGAATTAATTTTTTCAAGTTTGAAAACAGTTTAAAGAGCATCTGCTTAAATTCTACACTTTCCAATGTTTTATTTTAAAGTTTGAAAGTAATCCTTCCGCTACTGTTCCCAGCTTCAGTAATATTATAAAACTTGAAATATCAAATGTGGATTTAAAATAATATTAACATAGCAAAATTACTAGCTAATCAGTCTACTGGATTATTCATAAAAGATTGATGACTCTCAATTTTGAACCAATCTCGAGATCATTGTTTGAACAGGGCTTCTAGGCCAATATTAGCTTCTATCCTAAAGCTAAAAAATTGGTAAATTAGATTTCGTCAGTAAAAATATTTCGTGATCCAATTACATTTAATCAATCAATTGAAATGGAAAGAAATGAATAAGCTTTGTAAATGATTTAATAATTTTTATGTCCGCTGCGTGAGTTGATTATTTCGAACCGTTTTATTGTAGAAATTAAAAAAATAGTGTTATTTTGTAATTTAATAAAATAATGCTAAAAATAATTATAATACGATGCAGCATATCATTTACAATCGTTTATAATGATCAAATCGCTGGATATTCTTAAGTGATAAATAATTAAAGTATCAAATTTTAATCAGTAAAGTCTCTGGTAATTGTTTCAATCTTCCAAGTAATAAATGCGCACATAATTCCGATTGACATTACTTTACGGGATTCACACCGCATCGAATATTTTGGATGACTCATTCGAGAATGTATACGAGAAATCAATGAAAAATATTTTCATCTGTATGGAAATAACACCAAACTTTCTAATTAATAGTTGGAAAAATTAATCGGCTCTTTTATAATCAAAAAAATATATCATCGAATTAGGTGAAAATGAATGATAATTGATAAAATGATAGCAGATAAAAAAGTCAAACTTTTTCAGAACAAATATAAATCTTCATGAGAAATAAATCAATATATTGTCATTGGTACTTACAAATTAATCAAAAATATTCTTTCAGCAAGTCAAATGACATAAATTATAAGAATTTCAATGAATTACATTAAAATTTCTCTTCCTATTATGATGGTATGCTATTAATTCCTGAATTCTTCTTAATTTGCTAATAATGATGGAACTATTTAAAATCTACCGAGAAATTTTAGAACAAAGGAAAAGAAATGAAGAGGAAAAAGTACAAAAATTTCTTCCTCAAAATGACCATACTTCTGCTGTTACAAATTATCATCATTTGTTTACACTTTGATAATTATCATTGCTAAATTGTGAAAATTTTCTTTCTTTATTAATTTCTTTGTGTGAATTTATAAAAGCATCAGATGAGTTGAATTATACATTTTCACATTATAAGGCGTATTATCAAAAATTTCGTTATCATAATTATCAGCCAATATAATTAATGCCGTGGCCATAAACACTGCTGTTTCACTTGCAATGTACATTCGTTGTGTAATATCTCCCTGTTATTATTATCATTATAAAAACAAAATATAAATTTCTCTGCTAATTACTTATGGCTATTGCTATTTACGGGAAGATATGCAAATTTTTGCAGTTGTTAAATATATGTGGATTTGTTCTTACAATTACGCATTCATTACTTCAAACAAACATTAATAGGGTGTGTTAAACAATTTTGATGACCATTAAAATTAGAAGGTAAAGTAAAATGCTTTCGCATTTTGACCTTCTCCTCGCACCTCTCGACCGGTGTTTCACATTTTGATTTCTTTCATCGTATTTCCGAATCTAACGCATCCAGAAACTGAAAAATTCGAGAATTTTGTTACAGTCAAATAAAATGTTTTATGAAAGAAGCACTATTGAAGGATAAAAACAATTGAAATAGCTTAAAATTTTACATCTTAAATGATTGACCGAACATTTTCAATTTCCTAGTTGAGCTGTTTGATGGTGCTAAAAAGGAGTAAATTTCTAATTTGTTTTATAAACTACTGTTCACCGCCAATAATTCAGTAAATTTTTAAAATTTTTAAGCAAAATGAAAAATCTCTCTGGAAGTAATGATATCATTTAAGAAAAAAGAAATAGGAAATTTACTTTTTGGGTAAGATAGATGGAAGTATAAAATTTATTCATTAGTTTTACACTCCAAACAAACTTAAAAAACGACAATTTCAGCACATTGATTTATTCATATATATATAAAATTGTAAATAAAAATGATTTAAATTTAAATTTAATGAAAATTTACCCGATCGTATAAAAAATCTATTTCAAGCAATCAGTTTTATCCCTCGTTTTATATAGAACATTTTGCTAATGCTTTTATCGCATACCCATAACATATTGCTTCACTTAATGCAGATAACAAAAACACAATGATATGATTTAAAAATCACTTTCTTCTATTTAACAAGCAAATGAAATGCAATCTTACGAAGACAATCTTACCAAATATTGAAAAAGAAAGAAAAAACCTTAAATGAGACATTTAAGCTTGAACTGCATCATCAGATATCGGCTTACTCTCGCAAATTGATTTTTCTATTCGTATTAAAAAGTGTTCCTTCGTTTTCACATCATTAGATAAACAATAATTTTGCATGATAATCGATCTTTGACAGTGATTCTTTCGTTTTTTTCATTTATTTCTGCAGTTGATCGAAATGAGAGATGGATGACACATGGATGAGATGGATGATTGGTGAGAAATTCATTGAAAACATTGTTATGGAAACACGCTCAATTGAATTTAAGAAGCTTAAATGAACTCAATGTTATTATTTTCTTCTCTTAACTATTATAGTTTATAGCGTAATAATTCTTGATAAATTTGTCAATTTATTAATATTGCAAAATTTTGAAAAAAATATTTAAACATTTTAATAAATCGCAAGAATTTTTTTAAATGAAATTCATTCTGCTGCATTTGACCCTTGACCCTGTTACTATGATAGATCTGAATCGATAGTGTGTTGTGGTTTGAGTTTATAGCAGTAAATATAACTGTGAGATGGTGAATATGACATGAGCTGTCTGAGGTCAAGAGGGATAATAGGTGGGCCTCTGTAGCCATAATTGAGCTCACTGCACCTCAGTTATACTAGCACTTCTTTCTAGAACAGTCCATGGCTGCTTTCATTATAACGGTATTTATTTTTTCGATTCCAATCTTTTCATTTTAAGAAATATTTCTGTATTTATTTAATTTAGCTATAATAAATTTTTGAAAAGAATTTAAATAAATTTTGCAAATTGTTAAATTCAACATTAACATATTATTTGAAATGTAAACCAGTTGATATACTTTATATAAATCTCAAAAATTTTTTCAGAAAAATGAAGTTCTGAGGAAATTTTCATGTATACGCATATATTTTGATTAAATCTCTATTTATAACCCATCAAATGATTATTTTTTGATATTCAAACGACTAATTAAATCTTATTACTATTTTTTAAAGGTTTTCCTGCTTTCAATATTTGATATCACGCAGCAATGCTCACCAAAACTGGATCTAATCGATAATAAATCTCCGCTTAAAGTGAAACCAATAAACTCATTCGGTAAGCTAAGCGCAAATGATTTCCTTTCTCACCTAATTAGAGGGATAATCGAGAATTAGTAATATTATGAATTAATACCCGAAATATTTCTCATTCAAAGAAAAAAAAATTAGTGTAAATGTAATATAAAAGTGTTTTAATATATTATTGGGGGAATTTTGCAGAGAATATTGTGAAGAAATTATTGAATGCGACCGAAATAGTCCGAGAGGAAAGTGATAAGATGGAAACTATTATAAATGATTGCACTTACAATATCAATGATACAACGTCTAAAATTAATCAAACTAAGCTGATAACTGATAGCGGCACCGAAAAGACGATCAAAGTTAGTTGAATGGAATATTTTTAACAAATCTCAAAAGATTGCTACAATTAAATTTAAAGCTTTAATAATTTGTTATGATTAGTTGGTAAAAAGACACTTCTCTCTCTTTATGATACCGCGCCATATTCGATCATTCATTAGTGAATCAAAAATTTGGCATTTCTTATGCCAATCACTGCTACTTGTCGAGATCACTAAACAACATTAGGAAAATGATATTGCAGAAATGTGAGATATCAAAGGAATGTGATGAATTGTGGAAGCGTTTCTTCGGAAAATGTCGATGTCAATGAATATGCGATGAAAATTGGAAGTCGGCGTTATGACTTCGTTGTACAAAAATACTTCTATTATTGTTATTCTGTTAAAATTGAGTCGTATAATATATCTTTATTAATGAAGTAAATTTATTCGAATTTTTATGATATTTGCTGATTGATCTTAAGTTGAAGAAATAATCAGTAATATTACGAAATTTATCGTATTGCGGCAAGTTTTTATGTAAGTACCGTCATATTCTTGAAAATTTTACATATTATAAAATGTGCAAAAAATAGGGAGCTAATTTTAAGTAAAATAACGTGAGACAATTTTATCTTTAAGTTTTACACGATGATTTATTCCATTTTTTTAAGAAATTCATTTACTAAATAATTCTGTTTATTATTGCTATTTTAAATATACGACTTTATATATGATTTAAAAGGTACTAACATTTTATTTATTGTTTAATATTTGGAAATATGCCCTCTTTAATCCGTAAATGATTATCTCAATTTGTCATCATTGCCATCTAAAAGAGTTTTGCATGTGGAAACTATCAAATGATAAGAGGAGAACATTAAAATTAATGATGAGAGATAGCTCCGTCAAAAAGCTCGAGAACTCACCTTTAGAGATGAACATGAAAATGCATTTTAAAATGAAAAAAACACTAAGTTAAACAAAGGAAATGAATTTATTGATTAATCATAGCTATTACAACTTTTTAAATCAGAATTGCTAATTACTGTTTTTTTAAACAATTCGACATATTCACGCGTTAGAGCAAGTCCTGAAAAGTCCAAATTAATCGACAATAAAATAAGAAGGCAATAAAAATAGGAATATTTCTTTGAAGATAGTTTAGTAAAATCTCTTAAAAGTCTGATTTTATCACAAAGAGAATCAAAAAATTCAAAATCAACAAAAATAGACTTTGTTTCTTGGATTCCCAAAGAATTTTAACACCATCGTTGTCATTTTTCAGAAGATTGGGCGGTATTCTCTGTATGATCAATGGTACCAATAATGTTGACAATCGTTTCATGAATGATTTTTCTTCTGATTGATTACATTCCAAACCAGCTATTACATCTGTATAACCAATACCCTTTAATTTTGTCAATTTATATCTTTCAAATTTAAATATGATTTAAAAACTCATCTTAACAAGTTTAAACTTTCTTAGATAAATTTTGTAGGAATTTTATTATTCTTTCACTGTAACAAAATTGATTTATCAGGCAAAATTAGTTCATTGATTATATAAAATTTGAGCTAACTTTCATATAATTTTCAAGTATTTTTGGGAGAGCGTATGGCGGCGGAAAGGAAGTTTGCAACGATTCGGTCATTTGCTCTTCCTTTGTTCCTTCTAAATTTACAAATTTCAAAGCAAGTATTTTTTTGGTTGAATTTAACTTCTAAGATTTTTTAACTTTATTTATATTAAACACTTACTTTTTTCAGCGCATTTTTTTAGTTTTATTCTCACGAAGCAATTATTACCTGTAAATAGAATTGAAACGATTTTTTTATTAACAACTGTTTGTATACTGTTTTAGCCAATTCATGTAGGCGCAGACAACTAAAATGTATTTGAAATATTTCCATCCTTGTTTTTGGATTTTCTCATAGTATTTGATTATTATTATTATTACTACAATAGGATCGATTTTCACATCATGTAAGATTATAATCACTTAATTTATTTAAGCTGTCATTTAATATTGGTCATGATCGTCACCAAGTTAGAAATAAATTTTTGTAAAATTTATGATGTGATTGAAATTACCAAAGATCATTTTTAATATCGCATTGCGGATAGTGCAATCGTTAGCATAAATTCGAATTTTTTTGCGAGAATTAGCAGCCAGAGTTCCGAAATTACTCGAAACTTCAATATAAGGCATGTATTTCTTCGAGCACAAGCAGCTTAATTTGTAACTGATAATTTCATCCACTTCTATAATTCCAGTTAATTTATCCCACAGGTGAAATGCAATAAGGGATATTTCTAAGATATTTGGAAATTCAAAAATTCCTAATGGGTAAGAAAAATAGAATTTGAATTGGGAAATTCTTGAGAAAATGGAAATTAAAATCTGTGATGAAAAGCTGTCTTTCGTGTTACTTATATCAATTAAATCAAGACATTATCAACGCAAAACAATGAACACAAATATTCCTTACAATACCTTTCGGTAGGAATACGATGCGACTTGCACCAACAGCTGAAAATGGTTTCCAAGTTGCCGCTTGCACATTGTAATCGGCATCGTACAGTATTACATCTGTAGTACGATAGAAAGTGCTTCTTTAAGATGAATTAAGAAATCATCTCAGGCTTAATTAATAAAACAACGAGTTTCAGGAATAAATGCTTGGAGGGAAATATTTATTTGAAAGAAGTAATCGATAATTAGATGAGCTTAATGTGTAATTCTAAAAAAAATCTGAAATAAAAGATTTCAAACGACAGAAATGTTGCATATAAAATTAATTTAATTGATCTTTAATTCTTACTGCAATTTTTTTCTTCACAATAAACTACGATCAACTGCAGTTGGAGCTTTTAAATTCACTCATATGACCCTGTACACTACTACGTATATTTCGATCAAAAGTTTTTTTGCTAAAAAATTAAAAAAGAGAACAACAAAATTTTTATTTGTAATCAAATTTAAAAAATCTTTCGACAAAAGTATCTTAGCAATTTAATATGGTTAATAAATTAACTCGCAAACTTTAAATTTAAGTCTAAATTAACTTAAAATGTTTGAATTTTGTTTCAAATTTGAAAGACCAACTTTCTTTGGTTACTTCAATAACAAAATCCCCGTTCCAATGTTTCTGGTCTTCTTTCTGATAGGTATAAACAATTAGTAATGGTGGATTTTGCACTCCAAATTGATCTGTCATTTCTTTGAATAGCGGCAATACTTATTGAATATTTAACTGTTTCTCGAAAATTATAAATGTTACTGAATTAATTATTACCATACAAATATATGAGTATATGTCTGTGTTTTTCTTTTTATTTTTAAAGTTCGCAAATTTTTTTAAATTAAATTTAGCTTTCAGGTTATATGCACAAAAGTGTTAATCAAATATTAAAATGAATTTTGAAAATTTTAAAGTGAATTGTAACACTGCCCGGAAAGTGTTATTTAATGGTACCTTCTTGAAATCCTAAAAAATGTGAGAAATTATAATTCCATAAAAGTATAAGAATGAAAAAGGTTGAAAAAGAGAAAAAATAACGCAACATACCACCAAGTGAAAGTGAATAATCAAAAATGATATCGTTATATTATGTGATAATGTTTAACAAGAAAATTTCATTAATTAAAATATTTGAACGAAAAGTTTTCTGCGCTAATGATTCAAAGATAAAAGTGAAATTTATAAATAAGACCATAAGTTGTATCTTATCAGAGCAATTACTATATTAGAAATAGATTGATAAGGTTGGTGAAATCAAAGAGTTGAATGAAAAAAATATATTGAATACTGGAAAAATATATAACGAAAAATTGATAAAATTATAATAATTTATGGACTAAAACGAATTAATTGCGCAGATGAATTAACAAAAGAACACACTGTGAATGCATACATGCATATCAATTTTGTTTGTTAATTCATCAGAATAGGAAAGGATATTCATGTCAGTCATCAGAATAATTAATTGTCACCAAATTTTGAGCAATCATTGGCTCAGCCAAAGTCAGAATCAATACATGTATAAAACATTTTATTGATTGATTTTGGTATTTAACAATGTCAGTCTTTGGAATGTGCAGCAAAAATTGCAATTTTTCCAGCATCAAATTTTCTTTTAATTGCTTTTCTTTTAAAATTTTCGCATCCATAATTAATATCAATATTAACACAAATGAATTCCTCTGATATTTCTCTGACACGCTATCAGTACTCAACAATAACAACAATATATCACTGAACTGAACAAATGGCAGGTAATATTTTAACAAACTTTTAAAATTTTCATTGCGTCACTGTATTACTCAAAGCATTGAATAAGGACGAGGGTATTGCACATATGGCGCCAATTTGACAGTGGGTGTTATGTTTTGATGAAGTTTGAATGATGAGTTGTTTGATTTTGTTTTCGTTTTTCGGGAAGTTTTTTGGGTTAAATTTTTGGAATTTGCTTAAATATTTGCATATTCAAATTTAGCAATAATCTGTAAGGATTGAAATATAATCGAAAGATTTGCTAAAATATCATATGAAAATGAGATCTATATTGAAATCATTTACTGTTTCACGTTGACTCTCTGCAGATACCGAACAGTTTGTTAAAAGATAAATTTCTAATATTCACACATTCCATTTTTTGTACGTCATATTGCAAGTGGTAAGATGTGAAGCACATGGTGATGTAAAAGCAATTATGAAACCGGCCGAAATGTCCCATTAGAAAGTTAGAAATGTGCAACTTTATTTTTGTATTGTTTGTGTGAACAACAGCAGTATAAATTTCCAAGTCATTCAATTATTTATTTGTTTTTGTTTTCGTCTTCATATTGTTAGAAATGTAAGTGTGAACTTGAGATTAATTTCTTTCCAGGACCAATGCATCGAAAGAAAGATCATCGAAAAGTGCCAACTTCGCAACCACATGAGAAAAATGCTAACACCACAGAGAATGGTATGCACTGAGAATTAACTTTTTTAATTAATCTGTCAGTTACTGCCGACCGATAAAATTTGAAATCCTTGAAGTTATTTCATTCTTTATCTTCAGCTGAACAGAGATAGGTAGAAAAGCATGGTGGAGATGTAGGCATAACCTTGATGGATTTTAATAAAAAACGAAATTAATCCAAGTCTTAAAGAGAGATCAATTAACAGTCGGCAGGGTGTTTGCAGCAGCAGCTAAACGCAGTGCTGGACTTATGGATGCGGAAAGTGATGAAGATTTGCGAGCGCAAGTTCGTAATGATGTTAATGAAGAGGTGATTATTTTTATTATATTCCAGATGAATTGAAAATGAGATACTTGCAGTATATAATGTCGTGGAAGTGTTTGTGAATAATCATGAATTCTAACCAATATAGTTGCATTGTGTTCTCCAGAATTTTGGGATAGAGAACTCAAAGTTTTTACATCATAGTCTTCCTGAGAATTTTCATTTTGAACGATTGAATATCAGAAAGATAGGTATCCTTGTTTCAGAATCTGTTAAATATGGAAATTCCTCCAATGCCCGAGCCTATAATGAGTGCTGATGGAAGTGGGCAACGACTTATGATAACTAGCATTGATGTTGAAAATTTCAAGTCTTATTATGGAAAACATGTTCTGGGTCCTTTCCATCAGGTATATTTGAATTTTTTGTTTTTTGTTTTGTTTGGTTTACAATAGTCATGTAAATATGATATAACTCGATATAAATGTGATATTCTTTAACGATTATAATAGAAGGAATTTCGAATAAGTGGAATAACTTTTAACTTAAATTTGTGGATAGCTTTTAACTTACATAAATGGAATAACTTTTAATTAAATTTGCGAAATTTTCGAAATGTAAAATTTATGCTTTATCTCTTATTTCTAATGCATCTATTTTTTTCAGAATTTTTCGGCTATAATTGGTCCTAACGGTAGCGGAAAAAGCAATGTGATTGATTCTTTGCTATTTGTATTTGGTTATCGTGCATCAAAAATTCGTTCCAAGAAAATAAGTGTTTTGATTCATTCCTCAGCTGGTCGGGAAAACATATCAAGTTGTACTGTCGGTGTTAATTTCCAGAAAATTACTGATTTGGTAAGCACATCAATCGATATGTAAGTAAATGGAGAGAGAATTTTTGCTGCTGACACTTTTGTGTCATAAAAACAACTGGGTTTAATCAGATACTTTTCGTCTCTATGTCAAATGTTTTACTGGTTCTTCTAATATGTGGTCTTTATGAAGAAAATTTCATTTTAAAACTTTTATGATGTTCAAAAGCCAATAATAATCGATGAAGCGGCTGACTATTGTTTATGAAGTATTCTAAGATTTCTCTTTTTTAGCCTGATGGAGACTATGATGTTGTGCCATCCAGTCAGTTTACCGTTAGTCGAACTGCATTTCGTGACAATTCTTCAAAATATACTTATAACGGTAAAACGATGCAATTCAAAGATATTGCTGTGTTGTTGCGAGGCGTTGGAATTGATCTCATTCATAATCGCTTTCTGATTCTGCAGGTATTACAGTGCATTCTTGCATATTTCCAGTATTAGTTTGTTGCGATCCATAATTCTTGATCTGATTGATTATGTGCCATTTTTATATGCAGTTAACGTGACTTGTTTAGGGTGAAGTCGAACAAATTGCTTTGATGAAGCCGAAAGCTTTAAATGAAAATGATGATGGCATGTTGGAATATTTAGAAGATATTATTGGTTCAAGCAGGCTCAAAGTCATTGTTTTTCTGTCTTTAACAGCTGGTCTTATTAGTGTGGTTGCTACATATTACTACTCTCATCATCTTTTGTTTAAAAAATTACTAAATCGCATTACATACATATTTTTTGAAAATCAATATTGTATTTTTATAAAATAAGGTAATTTCTGATTTCAAGGTTCCGATTGAAACAATTCAGCGGAAAATTGATCAGTTGCAAGAAGAGCGTTCTGCGCAGTTGAATCGCACGAAGTTTGCGGAAAAGGAAAAAAATGATGCTGAAGGGCCGATGAAAAGTCTTATTGCAGATCTTCGTGTTGATAACGGTATCGCACTGACAAAAAATCGTCTGCTGCAAGCTGATCGGTAAATTTTGCATTTTTTATTCTAAGAATAGAAATAAGTATATGACATATGGAACGGCCTCATGAGATTCTGGAATTGAGAAGTCTAACTCTCTGTATTATTTTTAGATATAAGGCCAAATCGGAATTGAGGGCAGATGAGGAGAAGAAAGAGGAGTTTGAGAAGGATTTGGAAGACACAAAAAAACGACAGGGAGAAGTCTTGGCCTTGCAGAAGAACAGAAAAGATGAACAGAAACAATTGCAAAAGTAGCAGTTTACTTTGATATTGTCGTAAAATTATTTCTCTATATCTTATTAGCACCTTTTGGTATAATGTGCTAGATTCCGGTGGCTTACAGAAATCTTATTATGCCATACAAGGTAATTTATTTTAGCTTTTACTATTTTTTCTTTAGATCTTTTGAGAAAGCACAAGAGGAATATGAAAAGACGAAGCATCAATTTAATGAACTAGAACAAGCTGAACAAAAAAGAAAAGCTGAGTTGCTCCGTCTCAATGACAGAAAGAAGAAATTGATTGATGACATAGCGAATGAAGAGAAAAAGGTTTTCTTTATTGTCAAGTGGAAATTTAGAATTAAGTTATTTGAATTTGTATCAAATAAAGCATATACTGTAACTTCTGCCTGAAAATGCAAGCTATATTGAACCTTATGAATAAATTGATTTTAAGTTTTTTCGATATTGCGCGGGAGATTTTTATGTATTGCAAAAACACAACTGAACACATACCACAGGGCTCCATGAAAATGAATAACCATTTTCTCATTCTAGCCAGTACATACCAAATATCTAAATCACTAACTTCTCAAATAGTGAATCAACTAAAGGAAAGATTTAGCACCTTCGTTGTATTCACTTTCGAAACCTGACTCTGACATATAAAATGTGCATGTATTACTTCATCGATTTTCTCCGATAAAAAAGTTCGAGGCCAAAAAACTTGTTGCATTAAACTGTTGGACGTTTTTGATATTCAGGATAAATTAATAAGTAAAACATTTCATTTATGGAAAAAAATCATTTTCTTTTATGCATTATTTTGTATTCCCTAACATAAATTTTTATGATTGCAAATGCTTGCATTAAGTACTTTTGGACATCATAAATTACGTTTCAGATATCTGAATTGAAACAGGTACCAATAAAAGCAAAAAGCAGACTTGAGGAATATCGTGAAATGTTAAATGGAATTGATGATATCATTGTTCAAAAGCAAGTCGAAGTAATGCTTTAGTTATTTAATAGTTATGTTTTTTTCAATTCTTTGAAACTTACAATTATTGTTAGAATCATGTTATAGGTCGATGCCCATTTGAAAGAACTGCAAGAACAGACTATGAAGTTTCAAGGTCCTAAAAAAGCACTGGAAGAACAAGTCGGAGAACTTACTGCTAAAGAGGATGAGGCAAGCAGCAAGGTCAGTTTCTTTATTTTTTACTAATCTATTTCGGGAATGAACAGCATTCATAATCTCTTAAAACTTAAAAAACTAGAGTGGAAAAAATGAAATTTATAAGCTTTGAGAAGCACGTTTAGAAAACCTTTTTTGAATGATACTGATAATTAAATTAATGTAAAATATTAAATTTTTAGTTAACGCTGGCACAGGAAGCGCTTCAATTAATGCGTAGAGAAGAGGAAGTGGCGAAGAAAAAACTTCTGGAAATTCAGACATCTCTCAATGATGTAAAAGTTCTCTTGGAGTCCAAAATAAAGTATGTCAACATTTGTAATCAGAACAAAATAAAATGACTATGCACAGCAAGTAGTGCACTTGATATCTGTCGCTTTGTTCTTGACAAATATGGTGTCAGAGATCGAGAGATCTTTTTTTAGCTTCAATTTTTTTAACAAAAATTTTAGCCTTGAAAAGATGCTTTAATTTAGATTGCTAGCAACATGATGAAATTTGTGGCGGATAGACTTTCTTTGTTTAAATAATTGGTTTCTGCAGGTATTTTCCCTACTAAATATTTTCAGCGATCTGAGTAAGGTGAAGCAAGCAATTCCAAATATTGACAAAGAGCTTCATAATGCCAAATCAGAAATGACAAAAAAACGGAAGGAAGAATCAGTTTACACTGAAAATGTTCGTTTCCAGTTCATTCTGTGAAATATGAAATTTTTAAAAACAATAATATATGCATTAGTCTGTGAAATAAATGGAAATTTTTGTTTGCAAACTTTTTTTTGCTATCTCACGAGAAATCGCAAACATGATTCAACTTTTCGTGCTGGAGTTCGATTTTTTCACAAGAAAATGTTTATCTTAGTAAATAGTTGTCTACTTCACTTAATTGCACGTTGTTCATTCTTTCCCTTTAAAATGATTTTTTTCATATGGAAACTTTAATTTCAAACTTGGTTCCGACGAAGTATTTTCTCAGGTTCGGCAATGTATGGCAAGGTTCGAGAAAAAACGACAGACAGTGGAAGCATTTCAAAGCCAAAACAATCTGTTGAGGCGTCTGATGGCCGAAAAATCATCTGGGAACATACCGGGAATATATGGACGTCTTGTAAGTTTTCTGTTATGAATCGACCTAAAATTAGATTGTCCTTTAATCACTTTCGATTTTAGTACTCTGATGCAAGTTACGCCTAACAGATTTAGAGGATAATATTCATAATTCAGAATTTAATCGAACTTTTCAGAATTTAAATCGAGAATTAAATTAAATGTTTCTTAAATGAACCTACATTATGTGTTTCTGCCGCAGGGTGATCTCGGTGCAATTGATGAAAAGTATGATGTCGCTATTTCGACAACATGTCGATCGTTGGATTATATTGTGGTTGATAATGTTGATACTGCTCAAATGTGCGTAGAATTTCTGAGGCGCGAGAATTTGGGTATTGCCTCCTTCTTGGTACTCGATAAGCAGGAAAAACTTCGTCCATATATGGCAAAGCTAAACTCTACGTATGTTGACCAAGAAATATTCATGAACATAAAAATTTTATCTAAAAATTTTGTTATTAAAATAAACCGCAATCATTTTTTTGTTCAAATAATCTCTTTGAAATTCTTCAATTCTAGACCTGAAAATGCACCTCGATTGTTTGATTTAATTCGTGTAGCAGATCCAGCGGTATTACCTGCATTCTATTTTGCGTTGCGTGATACTTTGATAGCAGATGATATCACGACTGCAACACGTATTGGCATGGGTGGCACGAAACGTTATCGAGTGGTTACGTTGAAAGGTGAAGTGGTTGAAACAAGTGGCTCCATGACAGGTGGTGGAAGATCTGAACGAAGGTGCTTACTTTTATCTTGTAAATTAACCTAATTATTGAAATTTGATAGATAATGTCCCTTCATATATAGTGAATATATTGTGCATTTGTAGAGGTAGGATTGGCCAAAGTGTCAAAATTGACACTTCGAAAGAATCATCCGAAGAAGTTACTGAGCTGCAGAATCTATTGACAGAAGAGCAGAATCGCCTGAATAATTTGCGAAGTGTTATTCATCAGGTTTATATTTTTGTTATTTAGACTTACTTTTAAATGAATTACATCACACTTTTAAATTTGTAAATCATAATTCGTTTTATTTATAATTAATTTACAGCTCGATTCTCGCATAATGTCCCTTCAAACTGATTACGATAGACTGAAGAAAAATGAACAAAACTTATCAAATGACATTGAACCTCTTGAAAGGAAAGTAGCTGATCTTGAGCATAGATTGGAGGAACAAACAGCCAGAGTCAAAAGCGTTCTTGTGGATGAGAAAGACATACAACGTAAAAAGGCTGAAGTTGCTGAACTTGCGAAAGGTTTAATTCTTCTACAACGAATTGAAATTTTTCAAGAGGTTGAAAACTTAATCCTTCCTTATGTAAATAAGAGTATTAGCAGTCTTTCTTTCCAGCCCGTGATAAAGCAGTAGAAGCAGCTGATGAAGTACGAGAAAAAGTAGTTGAAATAAACACTAAGATCCAAGAGGTTTATGATCGAATTGTTGGTCCATATCAAAAGGAGCTTGATGAGGTTCGAGCAAGGTGAGTTCTTTTTGACTCGTTTGATTAGCACCTGTATCTTAAATAGACACAAATTATTTCTTTTTTCCAGATCTCTTTTTTCGGAAAAAAAGATTTTCTAAATTATATAAATCATTTCAGGAAAGAAAGCGCATCGAAAGGAGCGACGAAAGAGCAGAGTGTGCTTAATAATGCTCAACGAAATATGAATAAAGCATTGAGCAGGTTTGACAAATTTTGAGACATGGCAAAAATATTATGTTTTTCAGCAACTCGATAGAAAATTAAATTTGAATGATATTTCAGGAAAAATGATCTTGAAACTGATCAGCGTGAAACTGATGAAGCAATCAAGAAACTTGAATTAACTGAAGATGCTCGGGAAGCGGATATTAATCGTTTAACAAAGGAGAAAATACAACAAGAGGTAAATTCCCCATTAAGAATATCTGGCGATTATTGCTCTAATAAATATAGGTTTTGAAAGAAATGAAAGCAAATAACAGGGCCTTAACTGATGACAAGTTCATTATTTCTTTTGATCTGGTTTTCCCGAAAAAATCGTCCATGCTTCTCAACATATATTGTTGTCTTCGCATATCCATCTTTACCGCTTTTCGATATTAAATTCCTGGAAGTGCACCACATCTATTTGTCATAAAGTTGATATTTCGGATGATTCATAGTTTATATAATAAATTTGCAGAAATTGATGAAAGAAGCTGAAGTTAAAGTGAAGGAAGCATTCAACAAAAATTCTGAACTGGATGTTGAAGAAGTTGAGCTTAAAAAGAGATGTGCTGATTTGACACGTGCGCTTATTGAACAGTTGAGATTTTTAGAGCATAAACAAGGAAAGCTAACCATGATTGAGAGCAAGGTAACTTCAGTTTATTGCAGTAATTATATTCTTAAAAAAAATTTTTGGATCTATATTTAAAATCACCAATAACGATGTTTATAAATGAATCACATTAAAAATTCGAAAAATATTATTCAATATTTTATATTCCAAGTTAAGAGAGTCCGTTAGTAATAACATATAAAGATTCATGGTCATAAAACTGGTAGTGTCATGTACCTCAGTAACTTTTACTGCTATGATGAGATATGGGAGCAAAGAATTACATTTTGCTATTTTCTGGAACTAACAGAAGAACTAATAGAAATTATTACATCAATATTATAGATCGAAACATTACATTTGTCCTATGTGAAATGTTTGGATCGCTTACCGGAGTCACTGCAATTAAGCGAAGAAGAAGAAGACGATGAATATGCATTACAGGAAGCTTTGAAAGTTGAGCATGAATTCTTCAAAAAATTGAAGGTGATTTTCTTTTTTGAAATTTTGAAACAAATTGTGAACTAAATTAATTTTGATGTGATATCAAACACTGCCATCTTTTTTCAGAGTGGTGAGATTATTATCGAAGCTGATAAAGACGGTATAGTACGTTACAAAAATGTACCAGAATATTCCGAAGAAGAAATCAAAAATTTCAATCTGCAGGATATGAAGTATTGTTTAGCATTCTTCATTGTTTCACTTGAGATAATTATTGGTTTTTCATCGGACAGTCAGATCTTTAAAAAATTTGTAGATTTACATTAGCGAATTTGGAGAAGCGAAAAGTTGGTAAAGTGCTGAATACGAATGGTTTGCTGGAGTATGTTACAAAGGTATGAAATATAATTTGTCTACTAATTCTCATTAGGTCATGCTTATTTTCAATCCAAACAGACTAGATAAAATTTGTGTTTGTTATATTTTTAATTGTTAATTTTGTGATGAGAAAGTGACATCATTTCCTCTTCATGAAAATTTTTTAGCTGGAGCGTTATGACCGTGAAGTTGAAGCTTTATCCGATATATCAACGAAACGTGACAAACATCGTCAATTTTGCGAGCAATTAAAGAAACAGCGAATGAATGAATTCATGGACGGTTTTACACGGATTGGTTTGGCATTGAAAGAAATGTATCAGATGATAACATTGGGTGGTGATGCTAGTTTGGACTTGGTTGATTCACTTGATCCGTTTAGTGAAGGTGTTTCTTTTGGGTAAGTCTATATTTAAATGTAATTGGTTGAATTGTTTAGATTTTATTGGTAGAAAATGCATTATTCGAAGTCAGTTGAAACCTTTTTTTTTCATTGTACATCTTTCTTTTTCAACTTAATTTTACCGATATTTTTCAGTGTAAGACCACCGAAGAAATCGTGGAAGCAAATTACCAATTTGTCAGGTGGTGAAAAAACGCTGTCGTCATTAGCCCTGGTTTTTGCATTACATTATTATCGACCAACACCACTGTATGTTATGGATGAGATTGATGCCGCTCTGGATTTTAGAAATGTATCAATTATTGGACATTATATAAAGGTAATGATCCAGATGAAACTAACAGATCTGTTACATTTTTTCAAAAATTTCATTTGTTGATTTTTGAAACTCTTAATTTTCTTGAAAGATTATATTTGTGCGTTGTTTACTACTTCACTATTTTAGTGAAGTAGTAAACAACGCACAAATATGATTTTTCAAGAAAATTAAGAGCTTATTTCCTTGTTACTTTCTGTTAGTCATTGGTTATAAGATAATAGGCATTTATTTCTGTAGTTTATAATATATTTTTTAAGCACTAAAAAGTTTTCTTGTCTATAGAAGAGCCTGCACCATTCGCCTCAACCTACCGTTTTAAACAGATATGAGTTTTATATGAGGCAAGAGAGTCCATGTTGATTCATAATTCATTTCTTACATTGATTTTCACTATCAGGCAAGAAACGAACAAATAGGTATTCAATGAATACATTTAACTCCCACAGTTATTACAAAAATTGAAGAAGTATAAATGTTTTCAGGATCGCACAAAAAATGCACAATTTATTATCATTTCTTTGCGGAATAATATGTTTGAATTAGCAGATCGTCTTATTGGTATTTACAAGACATTTGATTGTACGAAGTCCGTCGCCATTGACCCGGGAAGTATCCGGAATATAATTAAACCGCGTATCTTTTTTCATAGAAATTTTAAATAGGCTGAAATTTTTGTTAAAAGTTCAGATATTGGAATTTTCAAATTACATTGCGGATTTAATTCAATATGTCGGAAGTTTGATTGGACTTTGTGCTTATGTCTTAGATTAATACTGAGAGTTTTCAATTTCAGTTCAGTATGGTGTTCATCGGTAAGACTAAATATTTACCTGGGTCTATTTACTGATTTTCTGCGTTAATGATTTCTTTCCTTGCAGTTTATATTTTGGAAGAAATGAAGAAACATAGAGGGAAAAACAGTGAAAAACATGTGGATGAGAAATATGAATTGCAGGTGAATTATTATAGTTATTAAGGATTCATTTGAATAATATTCAGAAAAACATATTTTTATTGTAATATAGGCAATAGTCGTTACTACAGTTATTAAACAGTGCTGTAGGTTGAAGTGTTGGCTTTCATTCAAGATTTCGATCGGTTTTAATAAATATAATTCGATGATTTTTAATAAATATATAGTCCTTTTTTTAGATATTTTTAGTGGACATGAAAAACTAGGTACCTAGCGAACCTATTACTACATGAAATTGAATTCCTGTCTTGTTAGATATGATTACCTTAGTCTATTCACGCATATTTTTTATTTATTTTTTCATTCGAAGGGATATTTTTGTTTCAATTTTTTCAGTTCCAAAGGCAAGAAATGGATAGCCATATTAATGCTTTAGAAATAAATATGAGAAATACGCAGGAGTCAAAAACGCCATCAATGGTTGCTGGTAATTTTCATTTTATTTAAATTTAAAATCATCTTTGAACTAGCTTGAAATACTTGGAAGAATATTATTGTTATTGAAATTCTTTAAGAAGATCTATCGGTAAGTCGAACATCATCCGGTCGAAGAAACGACTACGGCATAATGTTGGAGAAAAGGAAACATGGAAACAATTCCGAAAAAAATATTCGGATTTCAAAGTGCGTACTTAATTTGCAACTTTCTTTACGTTAGTTTTCAATTATTTCAAAACTGAAAATTGAAGTAGTTTTGTATTCCTTTCTGTTATTTCGATATTCCTCTTAGATGTTGTATTTTTGAGATTAAATTTCGGAGTTACTTTAGGGGCAACAAATCACATATCTCACGAAAAACCACATCAGCGGTTTCAGTGTCCCCACCAACGAAGAAAAAATCTCCGCAAAAATCTGAAATTCCTACCTGGGATGTACCACAGACTATCACTGTGCGCCGTTCACGAGCTGAACCAGCTGGTGGCCAGGTATTTTGGAACTGTTATTTATGAAGTTGCTCAATGATTTGTTTGTCTCTAGCTATGTTTAATCCATTTACGTAAGATTGAGGTCTTTTCATTCGTTACGATTAGGATAGTTAATCTTTTGTTCAGATATAGGTTTCTGCTGAAATTTAACTAAGTATTATCCATTTGCAGTTCTTGGATGAAAAAAGTGGTGATAGTGTAACTAACAAAGCCACAAAAGAGGTAGGCGATGATAGCAGTGGAATAAAAAATGTTCTTTCGAAAGATGTCTCTGGTGTCGTTTCACAATCAGAAACAGGAGTTGCTCAACCATCCAATTTACAGCAATCGGTTGCAAATGCTGTATCAGATACAGATCGATTGGAACAGTTTGCACGAATGTTATGAACTTAAATTCCAACTGAAACGAGATCTCATATTTATTCGTTAATGTGTACTCATGTTTTATTTGTATTACTGCCACAATGTTTCCTAATGTTTTTATTCTTCAAAGAAAACATGCATTGAAATTTGTTAGTTCATAATCTAAGTTTGAGATTTCCAGGATATATAGAACTGAGGCTAGTTGTTATTAGGATAAAAGTCTAAAAACTAGCTACATTTTGATATTGAAAGCTTAATATCACAACAGTAAGTCATTAGCGGTGTTCCTAACCATATTCGAGCTTAAGCGATGTTTGATACTAAAAGATTGATGCCATGTAAATTTACATTATTATAGCGATTTAAATCTAATTTTGTGTACTGTATCATTTTTTGCATACTTAGGCATTGTTCGCACAGTATAACTGCTAGTTCACTAATTCTGTTATATGAAATTACAAATCTTCCTATCTGTCGTTAGTTTCTAAATTTGCTTTCTACAAGATCTCTTTTAGCTAATGATATTCCAACTGCAGCTAAAACTCGATTAAAGACCTTTTTATGTTATTTTCATGCACATTTTTTTTTGAGTGAAATTGCAGATTACTGAAAACGATTTTTCGAATACCGAGCAAAAGAAAGCAATGAATCGAATACTTGTATTACTTACTTTTAATCTGGTAGATCATAAGAATTCATCAAAAATACTAATATCATTGCTCAATACTACACACATATTGTTCAAAATGCATAAGTGATCAGGAAAAAACTTCACAGCATTTGGACTGTAGTTATTATTTAAAATGTCGCGAAATTTTTTCTGAAGGTGCAATATACATCATTCCACTAAATTAAAATTTCATATATTGAAGCAACCTCTAAAAGCCATAATTTAAAGTTAGGACATTGAAAGTGTTAAATACTAAAAAAGAAAATCGATGTGAACAATGTAAATGAAAATGAAAAATGTTTGGTTGGCAATAACTCATGAATTAAGTAGGCTTCTTCCAAATGGTTGCATGTTTTCGCCGCAAATTTTCTGATAAAATTCTGCAAATCAAATAGCAATATGATTCAACAATTGGTCTTGATAATCTTCTATAAATTGTCAGAATTTTGAAGATCTTACAAAAATTTTCTAAAACAATTGCTCTAAAATATTTTCTGGATAATCTTTTATGAGAAAAATTTTACAGTAAAAACTCTCGGATAGAATAAGAACAAGTTTTCTAACTAAAAACCTTTTTTTTAACAAAGCAAATTTTAAATGATACTTGTTTATTTTTTTGCTCGATTTTCATGCATATACAACAGAGGAATACCTTTCTCTCTCTCTCTTTCTCTTTGTCTCTCACTCTCTCATTGTCATTAGAGGTTGGAATGGAATGCAGATGAATGAGAAACATGTTTCTACTCCGATACGATGATCCACTATAAGAAGCTCGTTTAAAATTTTATAAGAAGCAGTCATTATCATAATTCACCTCAAGTATTATATATATACATTTCTGCATAATTAAAACTACACAACAACTGACAGTTGGAAAAACTGGCCTTGACCGACTTACCATTATTATATATAAGCAAATTACATCTCTTCGTCGAATAGTGTTCTTTTTTTGTCCCTTCACTCCAGCTTACATTTCATGTAATACTTCTTAATTTACGAGAAGTATATATCAACATATCAGTCAAGTACAATAAGCAATTCAATTCAGTAATGCTTCTTAAAGTTTACTTCTTTGTTGCTATCATTTCCAATCTTTCATATTGCTTACGATTACCGAGGTATGTTTTTTTTTTGTCCTTTCAGAATTTCCTCAAAGTTATTACTGATTTAACAATATTCGATGATTGATAAGCATAATATTGCATGGAGTGATTGGAATGATGAGCATGATAGTGGATACAATAAAAAATTAACGGAAAAATGATAAATCTGAAAAACTCATCTTTTGTGAAATTAGAAAATAGCATTTAAATTTCGTCACTGATGTAAAACATAATTAATAGATTTTAATATAATTTCAAGAAGTGCTGGTGTATGGCAACCAATTCCGGAACAAGATAAAGTGAAGGATAAGCATAATATTGCATGGAGTGATTGGAATGGTGGACATGATAGCGGATATGTGATTAAGAAGGATGGACATCATGAGAAGGATTCTGAGACATTTAATCATGCAGTAAAACAGGAAGCGGAAGAGCATGCTCTGAAATCAGCAGCTGGTATTGGTAAGCATGCATCAGCTGCTGCTGAAAAAGGTGCAGCCAAACATGTTGATGAAGCCAGTATCCATGGAAAAGGTATCTCTTTTCATACTTGAAAATTAGCGGTAGCAAGGAAAAAGTCTACTAAAGAAAAGCTTGTTAGGAAAAAAAGTTTCGGTAATATAATTTCAATTCAATTTTGTGAAAAAAAAGTTAAATAATTTTAAGATAATCGTTCATTAGGTATTCATCAAAATTTTGTTGAAGATTGTTCTTTGTCTTTTCAATACAATGAAAGGAAGAAAGTAAGTTGTGAAAATATGAATAATTTTAAAAAATTTTGAAATTCTGCAGATGTTAAAGCGAAAACATTCGGATTTTTTGACTATCAGTACAAACAACCGGAATATCACGTGGAGCAATTTTACACTGATGAAAAACATCGTCAAAAAACCGGAGCTGACCGTTTGCATCATAGTTTAAAGGATCATGAATCAGGTAATGAAATTCTACATAATTGATAGGCAAGATATTTTTATTTTGTCATGAAGGCATCACAAATAGCATATGTTTAAATTGCTCAAAAATTTACAATAACTTTTACTTACACAAATTTAATTAGAAATTTCCTGTAAACTGATTTTCCAGATGTGCATGCAGCATCCGGTTGGGGTAAACATGGAAAAGGATATCATAACGATGCGAGTGGTCTTAAGGCCCACGAACATGGTGGACAATTTCACGATGGTTGGGCCAGTCATGTTCGTAAGGGATATGAACATGAGGGTGAGAAGGATTATTCGAAAGGTACAGTATTCCTCTATAATATTAGCGATTCTTACATATAATGTTTCTTGGAAAGATTTCGTAAATAATAGTGGAAATTTCGGGTTAAAGGTCATTTTGAACATATCTCCAATGTTTGGTATCATCGCTATTCTTCAGGTCATGGAGCACATAAAGGAAACTATCATCATAATATTGTATCAGAACCTCCTTATCATCATCATAATCATCACCATGGACATCACGACGGGTGGAGTGCACCGTACGAAGATGGTTATGAACACGGATCCGGTCCATGGGATAATCCGGCGGGACATGATGTGTGGGATAAATGGCACCACGGTTGGAATACGGATTAGAATGATTTGCTTTAGACTGAATATCACACAATTATTTTGATAATTCAAATATTTTTGGTTTGTCATTCGCATTTGAGATTGATTTAATTTCGGATCATTGTTTAATATTAATTGAAATTTTAAGTAGTAATAATTGTCTGTATGGTTTTCTAAATTATTATTTTGCTCTTCACTTCATACAATTCACTCCATTCCACCGGAAATTAATTTAGAAACAGGAATCACAAGAACCTGTTATGTTAAGTATTGCTGCAGCATACTTCTTACTACCACTTTTGAACGACTAATTATCCAATACGATATTTTTAATTTATCAAAATAAAAGCATATGAATTTACAAAAGAGATAATGAAAATTGATTTCTTCTAATTGTTCACAAGTTTGTATTGGAATATATACTCGTGGAAACTTTAAATGGAAGTTTTCCAAAGAGTTCTTAATAGAAGTCACGGTAATTTATGGTTTATGTTGCTTTATTTAAAAGTTATATCCAACTAAGTACCTATCATTTTCAATTCGACACTGAAACTGAGCCTTTTTTCGTCTAAGTAATAAAAAAAGATGCATAATTTTGAAAACTGTAGTATATGAAATAATTTTTTATAGCAACCTTCATGTCTATTTTATACTCTTAAGTTATTAGTTTTTTTATCACGTAGTATCTATGATTTTTTTAACAACAAAATTAAATTGATGGAATTGCGCAAAATATCATATGAATATAATAAACAAAATTTATAATTATTTCAAAAATTAATTCAAGTCAGATATTTGAAAATTAGAATTTTATTGAAGTATTATGTAGTTAAAACTTTTATATCAATGTTATTAATTGAGAAAATGGATCATATTCAACTTTGAGCGTAATATCATTAATATAATTTAGCATAAACAAATGTGGAAAGAGTAAGAAAAAAATACAGTAAAGATTAGGTGCAATAAAGAAACAAAATCTTCGTACAAAAAAATTACACTCAGAATTTTGCATCATAGTTTCCGAAATAAAATTAAACTTTAATTAATTAGCAATAATAGTAATTTTGGATTCAATTTATGTGCTTCATCGGACATGTAGTGTAAGTCACTGCGATTTACGACTTATTATGACTTACTATGAACCATGAAGTAATTATAATCGAAATGAATTGACAAATCAAAACAGTGCAAGGTGACAAAATTTCTAAAATATTACGAAAAACATTAATAATAAAACATTTGGATGTTTATTTGACTTCATGCGCAATCTCACCATAAAATATCACATTATGTTATCACCACTGTCATCATCATTATTCATTGTCATCAGTATTATCATCGTTATCATCATTACCATTGTGTACATTATAGGTGTAATGTGATATTCTCATTTGCGAAATCTCATTAAATTGGTCTCTGGTTAAAAAAGAAATCAATTCCACGAACTCTGAGAATCTCATAAATGATTATCATTCATAAAAACGATAATGAACTAATTAATGATTGCATGCAAACTTATTCAAATATTAATTAAATTTTCTGTTACATCACTTTTTCCCTTCAATCTGATCGATTCAGTTCATTGAATGTCTTTTTTCTGTGTATGAGAATTGATGCTAATTAAACTTAAATTTAGATTTGTCTCTTATAATATTAACAGTTCTGCTGGTTATACGTTGGTAATTTCCTTTAATTTATTTTTTAAATCAAGCAGGTTTTCCGTGCAATGTTCGAATCGAATCAGTTTTTTTTTGTGCATATTTTCCACTTATTTGCAATATATGTTGTATATAACGCATTCCGATCGTAAGACAAAAAACTAGGAACTATTTTATTATCATCCTTAAAAAGAAAATTAATAGGTGCTCAAAGAAAATTAATAAATCATCTTTTCTTTATTTCTGAGCATAGCTTAAGTCAATTAGAACTTATTATTTTTATTATTGATAAACATTAAACTATGTCTTTTTCCGGAAATCATGCTTCATTTCAGGAAAACGTGGAAAAAGCTGAACTATCTTTTGTAGCGCTCATAAATTTTCACTGATTCTCTATTTCAGTGTTTATTTCAACTCCATTTCTTCTTTTGTATTAATTTCATTTCATGTCAAATATTATATATTTTGATATGCTGTATGCGTTAGACTTAAATCTATTCTTGTCGAATATTATTTTTATGATAGAAATTCTAATGCTCGTTAAAAATAAACATGCTGGGAAGATTGTAGAATTAAATTGGTTTGAAATATAATAAGATGTAAATTTGATATTCCACATCGTATGTCATTAGAAAAATAATAATTTGATGCAATGCATAATATATGCAAACTTAATTTTGTATTTGTTTTTTGAAAGATTTTTCAAATCACTTCTTTTTTTATTTCGTCATTGAAATTTGACTATTTAAATAATTGAAGTTTGGAATCATTTAGTTTAATGAATTATAAAATTTCTCAACTCAATGCATTATATGTTGCATAATTATGGTTCTCAGAATCAAATAATCAATAAAATATGGCTAGAAAAAAACTGCTCCGAAGGAATCAAATCTGCAAATTAAAAATTAATTTTTTTGCTAGAAATTGTCGTGGAATTCGTTGAAGGTGATGTCTATGAGAATCAAATACCACCAGTATTTCGACCAAGGTTGATTTACCTTTCGCGTTGTTTGCGGGGAGTCGATTGAGGTGTGTTGAGTTGGACAAGGTTAAGTTGGATTTGAGTGACAGTTGAGTTAAAAGGAGAACCGAATAGCGGTTGATTTGATTTGAACGGACGACCAAAGGGTAATTAATGTGAGTTGCGTTGTGTGCACGAACGAGTTGCCGGGATTTATTGGGTTAACCAAAAATGCCCCTTCATTATTCAATCAGGCTTATAAACATTAGGAAGTGGGAGTGGTTTTTCACTAAACAATTAAGCAGATGCATTTGCATTGACCAGCAATAGCTAAGATCCAATT